TGCCTATAATCCCAGCTACTTGGGAGGCTGAAGGAGAATGACAAGTTCAAAGGGCAACCATAAATTCAAAGGGCAACTTGATAAGACCCTTTCTAAAATAAATTGAAAAAGTCTGGGGATGTAACTCAGTGGTAGAATGCCCTTGGATTCATTTCCAGGACCACAAAAAGCAAACCCAAAACAACAAAGAAAACACCCACCTGGGCTCTGGAGTGGAGGCCCTGGGCAGGTCTCCAGCACCCAGAAATGGGGGGAAAAAGCTTAAAGTACCCATACTCAGTAAATGGGTACGTTACTGCCACTTTATAGGACAATGGTGGCACTTAAAAACAGATTTTGAAAATCCTGACACTTCAAAGCATTGTATGCCATGACAGGTTTTATATTTTAATCATTGCCAATTAAACAAATAAAGAATTGAATATAATTAAAGTACTTTCAGATCATCAAATCAGGAAGGGTATCAGCAACTGAGCTCAAAAATGTTCATATACTATGATTTTACCCCCAAGTTACATAAAACACAGACATAATTATACACTGATATAAGGTAGTTTGAAAGATCATTGATAATTTAACTTTTTATTTTGTTTACTCTGAGGCTATTTTGAAAATTTCACTTGGCTCAAACTTATAGACTGTCTGATTTTTTTTTTTTTTTTTTTGGTACTTGGGATTGAACCTAGGGGCACTTACCACTGAGCCAAATCCCCAGCGCCCCCTCCTTTTTTTTTTTGTGGTGCCATGGATTGAACCCAGGACCTTGTGCATACAAGGCAGGCACTCTAACAACTGAATATATCTCCAGCCCCCCAGCCTGTTTTATTTTATTTAGAGACAGGGTCTTGCTAAGTTGCTGAGGCTGGCTTTGAAATCACAATCCTCCTGCCTCAGCCTCCTGAGTCGCTGGGATTACAGGTGTGTGACACCACGCCCAGCAAAACTGTCTGATTCTTAAAATGCATTAAGTATTTGAGATCCTCAATAAAAAATATCAAATAAATATGTAATATTTTATTAGTAGAGTGAACTCAGCATTCTTAAGGTTAAAACCACTGACATACATACATGAACTAACATCAATGAAAACTTTCTTTCACTTCGAGAATGCCTTATATATTATAAAAGAAAACCTACTTGTTTTTTATTTAAAATTTCTATATCTTTTCTTTTTTCCTAAATCGTGTGTTTTATGTCATAAGAAAACCTGTGACCCTGCAAGACTTCATCCTGAGACCTCAGTGCTGACAGGTAGTTTGTGTAACTAAATGGCTCAGAACCTCTCAGGGCCAGGATTTGCATGTGCTCCACGGCTCGCCTGTCAGGACTTCTTACTAGATGAAGGTGTGCAAGCTTACAGAATGGCAAGAACAGAAGAAGACCTCATCTACAGTCCATAAATGTTCCCATGTTCATTGGACTACGTGACCAAGATGTTCCGAACATGCTTTCAAAACTGACTCCTTCCAACCAGAAGAAATCCTTTGGGTTCTGGGAAGACACAGAAACATACGAATGGTTTCAGTTCAGCAAGTGTTTCTAGAGGGTTTCCTACATGCCCCACAAGGCGTGATGGCTTCAAACACAAACCAGCACCTGGTCCAGTTGTGGAGATGGGTCTCAAGGATGTAAGCAAATGGCCACCACTGAATCTGAAAAGTGAGAGGACACAAGAGAGGCACGGGCAGCAGAGGGGTCAGTGCTGTTAGGGGTGGAGGGAAGTGATGAGGATGTCACACAGAAAGCAGCAAGAGGGCAGGGCTTGACAGGGGCTGACCACATAGAAAGAGCCCAGAATGCAAGAGCTGCAAACATACGATAGCATGATGCTCTCCAACAGCACAGGATGATGTACACACGAGGAAGGCAGCACTGTGAAGGAGAACAAAACCAGGCAGGCACGGTGACACACATCTGTCACCCCAGCAGCTCAGGAGGCTGAGGCAGGAAGACTGAAAGTTCAAAGCCAGCCTCAGCAATGGTGAGGTGCTAAGCAACTCAGTGAGACCCTGTCTCTAAATAAAATACAAAATAGGGCTGGGGAGGTGGCTCAGGCGTTGAGAGCCCCTAAGTTCAATCCCTGGTACCAAAAAAAAAGAGAGAGAGAACAAAACCTAAATAGATGACGCACACTGGAGGCCTCCATCACAATAAGCTTTAACTGTCCTCCACAGTGACAGGGTGCCATGTTAACCAGGACAGCAAGTCCCTGGAGTCAGAGCAGTCAGTCAGGACAACCAGCCTAAGAAAGGAGCTACTGCCTCCTACAATGGGACAGGCGAGAGGCCAGGCAGGAAAGTGCTGGCTGCCCCTGGCCTGCTAATTCCCACAGATGGAACTGAGGCAGGGTCAAGAGTCCTGCAGGCAGGGGAAGGATCTCACTGCTGAGCAGTACTGGACAGAAAGCTCACCGGGGGCCCATAGGAAGAAGGGGAGGGGCCAGGAATGGAAGGCGTGGAGTCAGAGAGGAGGGCTGCCCAGCACTGGGGAGGCAGGCTGTGAGTCCCTGTGCCCCGGCAGAGACCAACAGCGCACTGGCTGGCACCAAGGAAGGGGGTAGGCAGGCCACCTGCCCACAAGCCTGCCAGGTCACACCTGTCATCTTCTGTGCTGGGTCATAGGGCACACACAACACACAGGATTTGGGCCTGGAGCAGGCCTCCTGAGGCCTCCTACTCTGTGATCTACAAAAATTAGCCATCAACAAAAAGGAAGATGAACTGGACGGAGAGGGTTTCGGTGATGAAGGCCACCTGCAAGGAGGCTGCTGTCATGATGGAGGCGAGACAGTGGACACAGACTCCTGGAAAGTGACTGAACCCAGTCCAGACAAGAAAGGAAGTGGAGCTGGAAGGGCTGACAGACTGGAAGACAGGAGGGAGCAGAGGGGTGGAGGACCTGCGCTGGCTGCAGTGGGCCAGGCCTGAGGACAGGCGCTGGGCCAGAAGCGGAACCAGGGCCAGGGTTCTGATGTGAGACAAACAAAGGTTTTTATGAGGAGAAGGTGTGTTTAGGTGGCAGAGCCCCAACAAGAGGAATGGCAGGACTGTGCCATGTTTCTTCTTTTTCTTGAACTCCCCCAAGAGGAGCTGATGATAGCAATGGAGGGTTGAGACTGGCTGGGGGACTACATAAGCGTCAAAGAAAGAAGGCAACTGCCCAGGGCGGCCACAGGCACAGAAGCTGTGCAGAGAGAGAACCAGGAGAGAGTGCCCAGAAGAGCCTGAGCAGACGCGGCTGGAACCCACCCCAAGGCCTGGCTGGTCCCCCAGGCCCAGCACCCAGCACTGCTGTTCCACTGCCTGGGTGGTCCCTCAAGCCCAGCACCCAGCACTGCTTCTCCAACTGCCAGTTTTCTTATTTAAACAGACTTGGATCATGGTTAAACCTCTTTCTGAGAATGTGTTTGCGTATCTGAAAGAGCCAAGTTCTAATTAGGAGCCAAGGAAACTTTTTAAGAAGCTCACTGGGTGGGGTACAGTGGTAAAAATACTAACGCTGTTCTTTATGCTCAGAAGCAGCTTCTGAGGACGTCTGTGCTGGAGATGTCAGAAGCCATTCAATATGCCATACTAACTCTGCAGCACTGTACTCACATCCTTGAACTGAAGCTCTGGGGAGAGCAACCTCAACCTCACCTAACCAGGAAGACGAGGACAGCCTTAAACTGTGACCTTTTCAAAAAAAAAAAAAACTGTGACCTTTTCTACCACTTACTACAACTTAGTTGGGGGTGTTTTCACATATTCACTTGGAAGCTGTATCAGCTGCTGTTTCCTCTGATCCCATCCACGCTGGGCAGCCAGTCTGTAACATGTACAACAGCCCTCCAAATAACATACAGTTCGCCTTTCTCCACCCTGGTGATGGCTTTCCTCTTGGGTCCAATTTTATGAACTTATAGCTTCTCACTGGCCTACCATTACAAAAAAAAAAAAAAGACTGTAGGCAGTGTGCTGTCTAGAGCAAATGAAGAAGCCCAAAGCTCGTCTTCACAGGTACCTGACGGACTCAGGTAAGGGCAGCTTATTGAGGATGAGGATGATGTGGCTGAGACACCCTTCACCTCCTTTTTACCAGGGCTAAGTCTTACTTAGCAATGAGGTTTACTTTTTCCTTCTTTGCTTCCGCATCCAATATGTGTCTCTCCCCAAATCATGCATAGTGAATCTTAGCCTAGTGCTTCAGATAAACTCTGTACTTCAGGCATTGAAATACTGCTTCTGTTCCCTATCGTGATCCAGAATGCTGTGCCATTTCAGATGAGATCTCACTGAATCTTCACAACCATCTAACTCAAAACATGATGATTCACCTTCTAAATAGAGTGATTCTCTTTGGACACAGTATTTTAAACTCACAGGCATTAATAAACAATAAAAAAGATATCCCAAATAAGGTTTTAGGTTATCCATACATTAATTCCAAGCTCCTCCACTAAATCTTTCATCAAATCCAATCAGAGGTAAGGGTCACCTCCTTTCAGAGTTCCTGTCCTTTCCTGAAAAAGGCACTAACATGTTTCAGAATGGACAAAAGAAAGCATGGCAGGGCAGGTGACAAGCAGGTATGCGGGAAGCTGGTGCAGCCAGCTGAGGCGTCCTTGTTCCCCACTAGGAAGGAAACTTCATGAAAACCTTTGTTTTATAAAATGGATTCAAGCTGCTCATATGTAAGAAGAGATTTCCTGGAGCTGGGGATGTGGTTCAAGCGGTAACGCGTTCGCCTGGCATGAGCGGGGCGCTGGGTTGGATCCTCAGCACCACATAAAGATGTTGTGTCCACTGAAAAACAAATATTTAAAAAAAAAAAAAAATTCTCTCTCTCTCTCAAAAAAAAAAAAAAAAGAAGAGATTTCCTTATGCCTAAGTTGCTTCTTTCCTAAACAGTTTCCAGTACTCACCAGAAAGCAGGATGGGGATGGACATTTTAAGGTTCACAGGGAGGACAAGGTTGAGGACTCAGGTGTGCCATCCCCGACATCAGCGGACAGCACTCACCTCCTTTGCACTCTTGATTTTAGTCAGGAACGTGTGGAGCTCCATGGTTTCTGCGAACAGTGCGCGACACACTGCCTGATAATGATTTGGTGCCTCTGACTCGGCTGGGAGATGAGCAGCACACAGCTACAGAAGAGGAAATCAACAGAGAAGGTCTGTGATCAGGGTTCTGGGCACCGGGAAAGCAGCTGCACCTATGTATGCTCCCGTGAGACAGAAAGGCAACCCTCCTCGCCCAGGGCCATCAGTTCCTACACAATTACATGGGGAGGCCCAGAAACCAACCAATGCCCAACAATACACCAGGCTGGCTGAATTAGCTTCTCCTTGAAAATGACCAGACATGTATCAAAGTTTAGGTTGGGAGCAGAAAGGGAACTACCATTTACTGGTAAAAATGAGAGTATCTTAACAGCTACTATATACTCAACTGTTGTCATGCCAGATCCTATATCTGACATGCCATTAGGCAGCCTATTATCATTTACTATTCTGTGAAACCCTGACTCTTCCCCTTTTTGTGCAAAGGAAGATGACAGTGAGAGAAGCCAGGTTAACCTGTCCACAGTCAGAGATCCCTCTTCTCAGGAAGAGGGATCCTATCACAACACTACCTGGTTCTGAGGCCCAGGCTCACTCTAGTACATGTTGACCTTTGTAAGTAGTAAAAAGAATGTCAGGAAAACATTTGGACTCAGGAGAAGGTGCTTGGGAGTGGAGCAAGAGGGCAGCAGGAGCCCAATGATGCTTCCTGTCCTGCCATCCTGGACTCCACAGAGTGCATGACCCTCACATCATTTGCGGCAAAATACATCATTTAATGTCATGCAGACAATATACCACTTTATTTGTTTTCAAATCTTTAAATGGTGCATTATAATTTCACATAATAGTGAACTTCATCATACATGCACCATTTATTTTATTAGATTGCAAAGATACCTCCCAGGAGTCCAATGCACTGGAATAACCATTTTTCTATAATAATTATATATCCATATACAATAGCTATATTTTAAAGTACTCCATTTACATTAAAAAGCTATAAGAGCCAGGTGTGGTGGCATACACCTGTAATCTCTGCGACTCAGGAGGCTGGGGCAGGTGGACCACAAGTTCAAGGTCAGACTCAACAACTTAGCAAGACCCCATCTCAAAAAAATGAAAAGGGCTGGAGATGTAGCTCAGTGGTAAAATGTCCCTGGGTACCTTAAATAAATAAATGGCTGTAAATAAGTTTTCCCTTAATAAATTTGACATTAATACAATTACTAAATGAACATGTCATTACATTTGAATAATTGACATCAATTGAAGAGTACTAAGCTGGAAATGGAAATGCCAGGGCAGGAGGAACAGAGGGACTGGGTTATTGGGTTTTATTTTGGGTTTTTTTTTTTTTTTTTTTTGGTGGGGCTGGGTAGAATGCAGGGCCAGATGCATCCATTCTTAGGGAGAAGCACTCAATGGGAGAACTTGGTACTAGGGCTTCATTCAGAGCCACAATCACTGGACCACTTGAACCCAATCAGAAAGGCCAGAGCGGATGCCTGCCTGCCTGCCAAAATAACTCTTCTCTTTATAAGCTGGTATTTATTCTCAGGCAGGCATATGTATACTCAGCGCGCTGCCGCGTGGCAGGCACAGCAAAAGGGAAAACTGTCCCCATGCTTTTAATAGTGCCAGGCCTAAAAAATCATGCAACAACTCCTGCCTCACACCATGCTCAACAGTCGATCTGGGAACTGTAAATTCTAATAATCACTGTGAAGGAAGTCAACAGCGTGGTGGAGGGCATGAGCTAGCTGGGAGCGGCGGCTTGCTGACCCGCCCAGCACGGGACACTGCTAGCTTGGGAAAAGATCAAGGTTCAAAACATGAAGTGCGGTTTCTGTAGAACACGGGTCGCTTTCCACAGGTAAAGTCAAATATATATGGTTAATATAATTTTAACCCTTGGACACCCAGAAAGACTTGTTTCATGTCCTAGAATGGTCTAATTTTTCATTGTTCCACACAAACCTAAAAAGAACATGTACTCTGGGTGCTGGGTGCTGCATCCCATGATGTCAGTTTGCTCTTCCCACTGTCCACATACCCTTTCTTTGATGGATGCTGAGAGACACCAAACCTCCCTCAAGGACCATGGATCTGTCAATTTCTCCATATAATTTTATCAATTTTATTTAATTGAATATGTTGTTAATGCTACTATTTATAGGCTGTTATTAGGTGCACACAAATTTAGAATTGTTACTTCTCCTTAGTGAATCAAATTTCTATCACTAAGTATACTTTTTATCTGTAGTAATGCATTTTAAGTCCAGTTTATCTGAAAAGAATATCTACAATAGCTTTCTTTTGGTTAGAATGCTGTATATTTTTTTGTTCTTTTACTTTCAAGTTTTCTTTGTCCTTGTATTTATGAATATGTCCTTTGTAAGAACATATGGCTGGATTCTGTATTTTTAGTGCAGTCTAAAAATATTTCTCTTTTAATTAGAGTGTTTTCAGCGAGTACAATCCATAGAAATAGTGTGAGCCACATACGTGACTTTTTTGAAGTTTTCTGCTGAACACGTAAAGAGTACAAAAAAACACTGAAACTGACCTTGAGAATATATTTTAGCTAACCTGATAAAATACATATTATACAATACTTAATTATAGTCAATATAAAAATTCTTAAGGAGATATTTTACATTACTTCTGGGTGTTTTGGAATGCAATATGCATTTTACACTTTTTGCACATCATCTCAGGTAATCGACCTGTGGCTGCTACCATCCTGAGCAGAGCAGTCCCACCAATTTAGGTGTCAGGACACTGTCCTCCACGTGCCTCTACCTGTCCAACTGCTCTCTGTTCAAAGCTTTATCATTCTTCCCATCTCTTCTTTCACACTGTCAATATTATTTTATTAACTTGTTCCCTCCCCTACCAGCTCAAAATCTACAAATTATTTTACTTTCTTTTATTGGCTTCCTTAGAGATGGGCCATGTTCTTCATCACAATCTAATAAATTAGTGCTCTAACCTGCTAAGGTCTGGACTTGTCCCCCAAAGGACCGCGTGTTGAAGACAAGGTGCCAGCTCCACTCTCTGGGAGGTGGTGGGATCTCTAAAAGGAGGGTCTAGGGGAGTCCTGGTCACTGGGGATATGCTGCCAAAGGGGGTGGTGGGATCTCTAAGAGGAGGGTCCAGTTGGAGGCCTGGTCACTGGGGACGTGCTGTCCTCTTGCTCAGTTCCTGGCCACAGGTGACCAGTTTGCTCTACCACAATCTCCCTGCCATGAAGTGCTACTTCAATGTAGACTCAAAAGCAATGGGTCAATTGGCCACAGACTAAGACCTTAGGAACTGAGCCAAAATAACTCTTCTCTTTATAAGCTGGTATTTATTCTCAGGTATTCATTACAGAAAGGGAAGGCTGGCTAACACAAACCTCTGGCCACACCATTCCAGGACCTGACAGTGCTACCTCCAATTACTTTCTCACTTGTGCTGAAGTTGGGTGTTTTAACTTAGTATGGTCTAAACCACACAAGTCATTATTATTGTTTTATGCAGTTAGTATTCCTTTTGATTTACTTTCATGTTTATCTTTTTCTTTGTTCTTCAAATCTCCCTGCATCCCCGAGCTTCCACCTGGCATGGTCTTTGTTTGAGAAGCGCTCTCTCTGTCAGAAGAGGTATTTCACCTTTACTGCTGACAGTTATTCCACTGAGTAACGCTAGACTGTCAGGACTCTGAAGATGGCACTCTCTGTCTTCCAGTTCAGCTGAGACCTCTGGTGCAGTTTCACTGATGTTCCTTTGAAGTCATCTTTTTTCCTCTGGCTGATTTTAAATGTGGTGTTTTGCAGTTTTGCTCTAATGAAATCAGATCATGGTGTTGGAAAAACAGTGTGTCTTCAATACCGCTATCAGCCCTTCTCTTCTTTGCTCTCCTTTAAGACTTTAATTACATGCACCAGCTTTGTGTCTGACCCTCTATTCTGCTCGTTTTGTTCATTTGGTGTCCCTGTGCTTTGCTCAGTGTGTCTCCTAGTGACCACACTTTCTACATTTTCTTTTCAGCTCTGTCTAGTCTGCTACTGAACCAATCCATTCAACTTTTATTTTAGTTACTGTGGTTTTTTGGCTCTCAAATTTCCATTTGGTTCTGTTGAAAATCTTTTCCAGTTTCCTGGCTCTTAAAATCCTGAACATCATTCTAAAGTCTTCACAATTCCATTATGTGAATTCCCTGTATAGAATCATTATTAATATACGGACTCAAAGTTAATTTTCTGGAAAATTTCATCAGCACTCATAGGATTCTGCTAGATATTTTCAACAGAACTTGAAAGTATCAGCAAACCCCACCTATACTGATGTGATGAGGAAATAGCCTATTTACATGTCAACATTTTGAAACCTTCTCACTTTTGTTATTCTGGCAAATAAAAAAACATATACATCATAAACAATGTACCAACTAGGAGAAAAACCTTTATTTGATACCAAAGACATTGTGGGTAACTTGGAAATTCTATTTATTAACAATTGATACTTTATTTCTACTTAGTAATAAAATACTACACAATAAGAGACCATGAAGTTTTCCTGAAAACTTGGCATAATTAATAATATAGTTTTTGTTTAAGTTAGAAGGTAGTCAGTATGTCTACCTCTTTTTCTGTAACGCATACCACAATATGTGCGAGATATTTAACCTTAGAACTGATATAATCAAAATTACATTCTCTCAGTTATTTAGCATTTATCATATCAGAGCACTTTATTAATACTACTGAATTCCTTACCCTGGTTTGGTCATCACAGATTGTATGTGTGTACTCAAATTTCACACTCTGCCCCCAAAATAAGTGTCAATTCCAAAATAAATTTTAAAATACTAGCTTCCAGTTTTTCCCATAATTTGTTCTCAGATACAGAAATTCAAATGTTTTTAACCATATTTAGTCACAAACATTTATAGTATAGAATCTTATTTGCAAAAAAGTACCATATTGGACCAGTGTTGTGGTCAGTAGCAGAGCACTTGTCTAGCTTGTGTGAGGCACTATGTTTGATCCTCAGCACCACATAAAAAATAATAATAAATTTTTAAAAAGATATTGCATCCATCTACAACTAAAAAAAATTGTTTTTAAAGTACCATATCAGTATTTTCAACTACATAATATAAAAATGTTTTCCCACTGAGCATAAGCATGTATTTATCACAAGAAATAACAACAACAAAAAAAAACTACATGGCAATCTTTTTGATTAACTCAGCACCATACAGTTAACCAAGATGGATCACTAAAACTCCATCTCCTCAGTGAGAAAAGCAGCACACTTTCCACCAGACTTTAGAACTCAGAGGACAAGTACCAGGAAGGGTGGAGAAGTTTCTCTCCATGGAGCCACTCCAGGGAGTGGTGCACACTGTCCAGTAAACTAACCTGGGTGGACAGAGATCTTAATTCACTGGCTCCACCAAACATTCAGACTTCCCTTGAATAAACTCTGTAAGCCTAGGCCAAATTAAAGCATAAATGAAATAACAGATGGGTCCTGTTTCTGCTGTTTGCAATAGATGAGCATTTTGAAAAGGAAGACTCTGGCATAGACAAATCTAGTTTAGTATTTATAAAATTAAATACATATTTATAAAATTAAATACATAAAGCTCACTTCTAATCATACTTTACTATTCTTAAATTCTTCCCCTTTTAAAATAGCAGGCAGGCCAGGCACAGTGGTGCACACCTGTAATCCCAGTAGCTTGGAAGGCTGAGGCAGGAGGATCCCAAGTTCAAAACCAGCCTTGGCAACTTAGCAAAGCCCTAAAGCAACTCAGCAAGGCCCTACGCAACTCAACAAGACCCTGTCTCTAAATAAAATATAAAAAGGGCTATGGATGTGGCTCAGTGGTTAAGCACTTCTGGTTTCAATCCCTGGTACAAAAAAAAAAAAGTAGGCAAATTTCCAAATTACAACTGTATATATCAACCAAAGAATCTACCACCTTTTTTCTAAACATGGCCTGTTATTTGTAATCTATTTAGGTATGACAGATCTCATTCAAAAGTATGAATTAGCACTGAAAAAACTTATAAATTTTAACTAAGAATTTTACGTATTTTATTTACTGTACAAATGCTAAATAATAAGAGGAAGGGAGTTTCTGAAACCAAGTGATTCCCCCGCAGTCACAATATGACTGACATACAACTTCAAATTGCCAGAGTTTCTTTTATTCTTTATCTAATATATGCAAATTTTGTGGGTTTTCCCCCAAGTATTAAAACTAAGGGGGGTTGGGGGTGTGGCTCAGTGGTAGAGCGCTTGCCTAGCACATGTGAGGCACTGGATTCGATCCTCAGCACCACATAAAACAAAATAAATAAAATAAAGATATTGTGTCCATCTACAACTAAAAATTAAAACAAACAAATAAATTTAAAAAAACTAAAGTTTCTCTACAACCACAGAACCCATGTGATTTTAATGTGACAGCCTGTATAGTATTCCACTTCGCTGCTAAACCAGGTGCCAACTCATTCCTCTCCGCTATCGGTTTGTAGCGTGAGGGCAGAGTCAGGATGCCATGCACATCCCTGGGTACATGTTCTATCTGCCCCCTCCCACAAAAGTGCCAGTGCAGCAGGCACATTGTCCCCTATGCTTTCAAGTAAAAACCCTGGAGATTTCTCCACAAGGTATGAAGAGATAGTCCTTAATCCTTATGGCTTCCTAGTAGTCCAGCGAGTACCATAGTTGAACTAGTCCCCAATTAATGGACAATCAAGTTTTTTCTAGACTTTAACCTTTTTTATTATAGTGAACTATTTCGAACTTTTTAATATAACAAATTATTTTTCATCAGGAATACATAAATTTACACTGCTGCTATTAATTACCAAGCAAAACAATTTGCCACACTTTCAAATTTCAACAAAATAAATTGTTTGCAAAATAAATAGTTGCAAAAGGTATTGCTTTATGTTTCCAACTGTCAGAAAGAGGGAATGCTGCAGGAGAAGAGAATCCTCTCAGCTGGGTTCCTCCCCTCTGTGCTCTCAGAGTATCTCACATCCACTCCAGGGGCCACCCTTCCATCCTTGCTCGTGAGAACAACCCACCTAGAAACTCCTCGTGGCCAGTCCTGCCTGACATGCCTGCCCTATGTCCACCTTGCTGCTGTTCACTTAACTTGCCTCTCCCCCATGCAATCAGCTCTGAGAGGAACCACAACTCACTCCTTGTGGCAGGCGATCCAAATGCCCACTGCAATTCCCAAAGAAGGCACACCAGAGGCTTGCAGGATGTTTAAAGATAAAGCCCAGCATGGATACCACTCTCCTATTAGCCCTCGGTCACTTCTCAAACACCCTCAGGTCCCACACCTCCAGGGTCTTTCAGGCCCATCTGTCACTGTTCCAGGGCTCGCTCTTCCCTTCCTCCCTGTGCATCTTAACCCACCCCACCCCCTGCACTGTCCACTGGACCACGACAGTTTTCTTCCTAACACAGACAGAATGTGCATCCAGGGATATACTTTTATATATAAAAATAATGGAGCCAACTTTTCTTAATACTTTTAGAGGGCCGATGCTCATGTTTCTCAAGAAATACTTAAAATTGGAAGTATTTTACATGCCATATTCTAAAAATTTTAAAAAGCACATGTTCCAGTCCTGACATAAATTTGTGCCTGCAATTTATTGTGCCTGAAATTTCAATGGCAAAGAACTCTCAAAAAATTCAGGGAAAAAAACTTATGCATGTGCATTTGTGCTTCATAGACATCCCAAGAATCAGAGGCCTATAGCTTGTGTGTATTCTGTTTCTATTACAGTTAAGAGCCACCAGGGCCAGGTGCAGTGGTACACGCCTGTAATCCCAGCTGTTCCGGAGGCTGAGGCAGGAGGATCACGAGTTCAAAGCCAGCCTCAGCAAAAACAACTCAGTGAGACCCTGTCTCTAAATAAAATACAAAATAGGGCTGGGGATGTGGCTCAGTGGTTGAAAGCCCCCGAGTGTCTTAATATGCATATTATGGAGTGTCTTACATGTGCATATTATGGTACCAAAAAAAAGCCATCCAGGTAGAGACCCTGCATATTTGTTACACACTAAAGAGGTCCTGCTCACTAAGAATTGAAGACTAATTGACTCCAAGATGCTGGTGGCACTGTTATATGTCTCCCACCCCTACAGTAAGGGTGCAGTCTGAGTTCTTCAGCTGACTCTTGCCTTCCCTCTTGACAAAGTCAAGGGTGAGGTTTTTAACCCACCGGCCAGACCATAAACTACCATAAACTCTTTCTCAGGTCCTAAGTAATGGGTTTTATGATATTTTAAAAGTTCAGTTTACTTGCCTAATGTCTCAGCAATTATTTTTCCTCCTGTTTAGCTAAAAGGGACACTCAGAACATATTATTATAGGTGTGGGAGATTTTTCAGTATATGTCAATACACGTGCACAGCATATGCTGACCAAATCCTCCTTTGACCCACCCGTCCATTCCCAACCGACACTGGTCACTATCCCAAGCTCAGGTCAGCTTGGTTCACCTTCCATATGAGGGAGTTTGAGGCACTTGTCTATATCTGGCTTATTTCACTTAACATGATTTCCTCGTTTGTATTTTTAAAAAATAAACCTTAACATTAGAAAACAGAAAATGAATACAATGTGTGAAATTTTAATTTGTATGTACGTGAGGACATTTTATTTGTTGAGGACATTGATCTAAAATGGAAAGTACTACAGCCCTTTTTATTTCTTATTTTGAGACAAAGCCTTGCAAGTTGCCAGGCTGCCCTTGAACTAGTGTTCCTCAGGCCTCAGCCTCCCGGGTAGTTGGGATTACAGGTTTTTATCATTATATTTTTAAAACAGAAGAAGAAGCACTCTAGAGAAACTAGCTCTATGCTGCCGTGAGCTGGTGCTTTACCTTCATGACGTCTCGGTAGGAGCGTACGGCGGAGACGGCCCTCTTCTCATCTTCCTCCTCCTCTAGGCCCTCGTCTGCAGCCTCGTAGCCCTCGTCCTTGCTGCCATCGGCCTCCACCGTGTTGGCCATCCGGTCGATGAGCTGCTCCAGGGGAGGGCTTAGCTCCCGTTCCTCATTCTCCTTCAATCCATAGTCCAGTGCTTTATAGATAATAATTCCCAAGGACTCGATAACCTGGGAACATTAGAGAAGGGGTTAGGGAGGTGATGGAACCACTCTACAGGACCAAGTGGAAGATATGACACATTTGGAATGATACTTAAGCTAGGTCTGATACTGTTCCATTTCAGATATGTGACAAAGTAAATTTAAGGAGTGTCTACCTATGCATATTATAAAAACAACTCAATGGCAATCTTTGCTTCCCTCAAACCAATACATGATACCCACAAAGCATTTTTATATTTTCTTGGATTTACAAAATGTTAAGATCAACATTCTCCTTTCATTTAAAATTCTAACCAGGTTGATTTTTTACATTTCCCCCCAATATTTCTGAGAACAGATAGAATTATTAAGGGAACATATCCTTTCAGAATTCTTATTCCAATATTTGAAGATTTCATAGACATCCCAAGCTGAGAGGCATAAATTCAGTTCTGAGTAGCAAATAACTTACACCTTATTGAGTTACATTCAATCCCTGGAAATGTGTAACTCTCATGCAATACAAACACTCTTCAAACCTTCAAGTTGCAGAGTACCCAGATGACCCTCCCTGCCTCCACCTCCAACACCAGGACCAGGTAACACAAACCTGATTCACAAATACCAGACACACTGCTGCTGTACAGCGTTCTCACGACCACACCAGACACAGCCAGCACAGGGAACTCTATTCTTCAACACTTCCTTCCTTTTCTGCTCAGAAAAATATCACAGGACTGGGTGCGGTGGCACCCAATTATAACCCCAGCAACTCAAGAAGCTGAGGCAAGAGGATCCCAAGTTCAAAGCCAGCCTCAGCAACTTAGCAAGGCCCTAAGCAACTTAGCAAAACCCTGTCTCAAAAAAATATAAAAAGGGATAGGGATGTGGCTCAGTGGTTAAGTGCCCCTGGATTTAATTCCCAGTACCATCAATCAATCCATCCAGCCACCAATTAATCAGTCAATATTTCTTGTTGAAAATACATATTCTGATTAGTTTGTATGGTCACTGTTTTCAAAAATGGGTATGAACAATGGGTCTTCAGGTTCCAAGGCAACTGACTGCTCTGGCGGCCTCTCCTGGCAGCTTCCCTGGCCAAACCTCCCCAAGAGCTGAAGCCCTCCGCACCCACAGGGCTTGCCATTTGCCCCTGGGTTGCGACTTGTATGTCATACTGTTATCTTAAAACCTGCACATGAATAAGTAATGACCAGCACAGCATTGATGTTTGTCTCCTGGCTGTCCCTGCACCAAAGTTCAAGTTCCACCAGGCCTGGGAGCTTGCTTGCTCTGTTCACTAAGGAATATACATCTACAGCACCTGGCTCACCGCAATGCCAAATAAATATCTCATAAGTAATAAATGCATTGATTTATAAAAGAAACACATCTACTTCTTAGTTTCTTTCTGTAGACATAAAGTGAAAGAGTAAACAAATTTTTTTCAGAAAAGTTATAGAATTTTTATCTTAACAATCTAAGTTACTAAGAAAAGTCATTTGGGGGCTGGGGATGTGGCTCAAGTGGTAGCACGCTCGCCTGGCATGCGTGCGGCCCGGGTTCGATCCTCAGCACCACATACAAACAAAGATGTTGTATCCGCCGATAACTAAAAAAAAAATATATTAAAATTCTCTCTCTCTCTCTCTCTCTTTAAAAAAGAAAAGTCATTTTGGCTACATTTGAATACAAATGATTTGGTTCTTTTTAAAATGTAAAAATAGAATAAATATGCTAGTGTTCCCAAGGCTAAGTTCTCCACAATCATCAACTTCCACCACCTCTTATCTGAAACCTTTAAAAGCAGCGAGTTAGAACCTTCAGATGGTTAGAAAGGTTAATCCCACAATTCCCATATCTCAGTGGGATCTGGGGTAGTACTTTATAATCAAGACCTTAATATTCCTGCAATGAAATGTTTGATCATTTACATTGAATAGAAAAAGAAAGACTATGTGTACAGTTTCATACTGGTTACATTTTGCCACCAAACAAGTTGGATACCAAACAGATGGGGATGCAGCAGTGTCAGAAACTTGCATGAGGAACAGGAGGGAAAGCACAGCAACACTGGATGGGGACAGGACAGGGCGGGTGCTTCCATGTGCAACTGTGGACTTGTATGTGATGGAAATAAGGCCCCAAGGGAAAAGACCAAGACAGTGGACTCCCACAGTAGAGCATTATTCTGTGACTTGACTGTGGCAAATCAGATCCCCAAAGGGTCAGTGATTTTTATAAATAAAACAAGGAAGCAAAGCGCCTTTCTCTGCTGTAGGCACCATCAGTCTCCCCACTGATGAGCAAGGCCTTGAGCCCCAGGCACGGCTCCCATTAGCTAACACAAAGGCACACTGCTCATGCGGAGAGGTGAGCTGCCCCCTCCCCAGCACGTCCCAGGGGCCTCTCTGTGGCAGCACACACCGATCTACCCACACCTCATTCCCAGCCTCACTTCCACATAGTGGTCCCTTCCTTCCTTTACCCATGGTGCCCTCCTTGGACCCCATCAGCCCTCAGTCCCAGCTACTTCTCCCACCTCCTCTTAGAGGTTCCCACTGGCCATGGTGGAGTAGCCAGGAAGATAGGGCACCTCCCCTGCCCTATCTTACCCACCACAATCCATGTGTCCACCAATCACACCACAAACTGCAGAGGTCAGTTACTAAGATACCTAGAACATTCTCTTTAAGTGTGAATGGCACATTCGCCAAGAAAAGCCCAAAGTTCTGCCAAAAACAAGTCCCAATAAAATTCAAGACTGAAATATCCAAGAATATGTTTCTTGGAAATGCAATGAAATCAGAAATCAGTTAACGATACCTACACCATTCCCAAGAACTGAAAAATTAATTAACACACAACTAAAGAAATCTCAAGGAGAATTAGAAAATATTTCATAATAATGAAAACACAACCTATCAAGATTTGTGGGATGCAGGGAAAGCAGTGCTCCAGAACCTGACAGTGTCAGATGGAGGGACAGACGTCCTGAAAAATATACTCACCAGGAGCTGAGAGACATCAAAGACCACAGAAACACAGAATTCCTGGATCAAAAGACTAAATATTGGAGCTGGGGTTGTGGCTCAGTGTTAGAGCGCTTGCCTAGCGTGTGTGAGGCATTGGTTCGATCCTCGGCACCACATACAAAATAAGTGAATAAAGTACAGTATTTGGTCCATCTACAACCAAATTTTTTTAAACCAAAAATTTTTTAAAAGATCAAATATGGTTAGTTATCTCAGGTCTCTCCCACACTGATTTACACTTAATGTAATACCTATCAAAATCCTAGTCACTTTCAGGGAAAATGATTTAAAAATATCTATGGAAATGCAAGTTACCTAGACTCACAATTTCAGAACAATAGAGCTGGTGACGAACACAACCCAGCTTCAAGACTCAGGACAGAACTGCAGAATCAACGCCTGAAGCACTGGCCCAGGACGAAGGCACACCAGGAACCCACAATCAGCCCATCTAAACAAACATGCCAAGGCGGTTGGACAGCAGAGGCCACCATTTCAACAGATGGGCTGGGGGCTGGGGTTGTAGCTCAGAGGTAGAGCGTGTGCCTAGCACGCATGGGGCGCTAGGTTTGATCCTCAGCACCACATAAAGTAGAATAAGGACATTGTGCCCACCTATAACTAAAAAATAAATATTTTTTAAAAATAGATGGGCTGGATACCTGGGTCTTCGATCAGGAAACAGACCCAGGCCCCACACCTCACATTACACACAAAGGTTATTTTTAAACAGATCGCATATCAAAGATGTATTAAACTTATAGAAAATCTGAATGACAAGAGTTTTCATAAATTTTTAAGTACTTTCCATGGTCATGTCATCAGTGAGGTTGACATAAAGAAAAAAATCTATGAAAATTTATCAGAATTAAAACTGTGCTTCAAAAGACAACAGTGAAAGTGAAAAGGCAAGTCACATGTTGAGCAAAGCTCTCTCTCATATATATCCCATGTTTGACAAAGAAGTTAAATCCAGAATATATGTTTTAAAAACTTAGAACTGCCAGGCACAGGAGCATACAACTCTACTCCCAGCAATTTGGAAGGCTGAAACAGGAGCATCACAAGTTCGAAGCCAGCCTCAAAAACTTAGTAAGAACCTGTCTCAAAAGAAAAAAAATTTGTAAAGGGGGCTAGGGATATGACTCAGTGGTTGAGCACCCCTGGGTTTAATTCCCAGAACTAAAAACAAGAACAAAAAAAACTTAGAACTAATATTAAAAAGTCCAATAAAAATGAGCCAAGGATTTGAACACATATTTCCCCAAAGAAGACACACACAAAATTTATAAGCATGTGAATAAAGGGTCTATATCATTAGTCACTAGCAAATGCACAGTACGAGGTGGCATCTTATGTCCTCTAGAACAGCTCACATAAAGACAGAAATCCCAAGAACTGGGAGGATGTGGAATACAAGAACTCACTGATTTGCTGGTGTGACTTAAAAAAGGCTGGGGATGTGGCTCAGTGGATAAGCCCTTCTGGGTTCAATCCCTAGTACCAACCCTCCCACCCCCCCCCCACACACTGAAAATACAACTATTCTGCAAAATATATGGCACTTTCTTATAAATATCAAACCCAATTACCATATTACCTACCAATTACATTCCAAGTTATTTATCCAAGAAAAATGAAAATGTATGTCCGCAAAAGGACTCATACAGTAAAACTCACAGCAGCTTTATCTGCAAGGGTCCCAAACTGTAAAACCCCAGCTGTCACACAACAGATTACTGGATAAACAAACTGCAATGAGCTGACAAAACAGAAAGCCAGGCAGCTGTACAATGACACAGTACCGAGGCACACTGCAGCTGTGTGCTGACACCCACCACAACTCCCCACACTCTGAACAGAAAAGAGTCCACACAGCACATTCAGCATGACCCCATTTACAGGAACCTGGGACTGCAGAGGGCATGGCCTGCGGAGGGAACTTCCATGTGATAAAATGGCTGCAACCTCAGCTACACAAGTGTACAGTAT